GAGAGAGAGAGAGAGAGAGAGAGAGAGAGAGAGAGAGAGAGAGAGAGAGAGCTGCCCTGACTGATCTTGCAAAGGTTTCATCCAGTGCTGTCGAGTCTGCCCAAAGGTGTTCGCAATGAAGGGATTAAAGGGCTTTTTTTTTTTTTTTTACTTCTGGCTTTCCATTATTTTCAAGCTACTAATTTCAAGTGCTTGTGTAGAGCAATTTTTTTAGATAAAGGCTGTACGCAAATTGATCGAGTGTGGGGCTCGCCAAATTGGTGTGTTGAAGCAACGTAAGTTTTCTTTAGCTACTTAGGGCATACTCACCCTAGGACTTTTTCGACTCAGGTATGGATGTCATAGCAACCAGATGCAAAGGTCCAGCCGTAAGTGTGGCCGGATATGTCGACAAAAGCGGTAGTGTGAGTATGCCCTTAATTAGTGTCTGCTGTGCCTATGGCGTTTGTTCTGTAGCGAAAAGCTGCTGGTCCGATAAAAGTTTCACAAAGCTCTGTGCAATTGGCGAAGAGTTTAAACCACAAGTACACCTGAGCCTGTCAGCCGTGCACTGAACGCCAAGCTTTCGCCGAACCGCCAGTGGTGCAATTTTTTTTTTTTTTTTTCTGGTGGACTGTCGCCAGCCGTTGGTGGCGTCGTAGCCTCAGGCATCCAAAATTTTAGAAGCGAGTCATGAAGTTTTGAAGTTACCTGGGACTGCGGATTGGCGGCTTAACAAACCGTCAAGTTATTCACAAGGCTTTCTTTTTCATTCGCTTCTATTTGACCGAAAGATGCATTGTGTCGATAACAGTCCTATGATAGTCAGCGGAATATCTGTCAGAGGATGGTCGATGACAGCTCCTAGTATTTATAGGGGCATATTAACTGATTTCGATTGGTAGCTTCGGGTTTAACGTTTAGACCGGTAGGGGGTAGGGAATCCTTGTCAAGCGACATAGGGGCCTATGTTTTCCAGGGTTTATAACTTCATAGGGTATATATCTAGGGGCTTAGATGTCAGGGCTGAAGGTCTCTTGGGGGGGGGCTGCCCTAAGATGGTACATATCCCCCACAGAGTGGCCAAACTGGTGCAGGGCCAGGCCCCACTGGTGCTTTGCCCATGCAGAAAAAAAATAAAAAAAAGAACTGCGATTATCACGGTCAGGGTCGTACTTTCCAAGGACAGACATGCACCAATAGGGCCGGGCGGAGTTCAGGTTTTCGATTGTACTTCGTACTCTTCAAGGACCGACATGCACCAATAGGGCTGGGCGGAGTTCAGGTTTCCGTTTGCACTGGGTGCAGGCCTGTCTGCTGCAGTGCATAACCGTCCAATAGGGTTTGTGAGGAATTGTCTGCAAGGCTGGAACAGCGAGCAAGGTCTTATGGTTATTGTGTAACTCGTCGTTGTGTTGCCCAACCCCATACCCTCTACAACATCTTCTCGTGAAAGGAAACCAGAGACTTTCAAAGAAGATTCAATATCTATTACAGCACAGAAGAAAAGGAAAGCATCCCTGACTTTCTCCTCATAGTGGTGAACTGTCTCGTGATGTTTGTATACGCATGTTTACGCCATGCGGACTACGTGTGTGTGTGTATGTGTGTGTGTGTGTGTGTGTGTGTGCGTGTGTGTGTGTGTGTGTGTGGGCGTGGATGTGTGCACAGGTTAGTGTGCATGCATTTGATATATATATAAATATATAAATATATATATAATATAATATATATATATATATAATATATATACTGATGAGTCGGTGAAACTCCGACGAAACAGTTTGTCACAGCCCCTCGTTTGTTGTCCTCTTCTCTCTCTCTGCCTACGGTTTACCGGGCAGTTCTGTTTGTGACGATATATATCTCCCTCTCTGCCTACGGTTTACCGGGCAGTTCTATTTGACGATATATATATATACACAGAGAGAGAGAGAGAAAGAGAGTTGTAAATGCAAGGTGTGAGTTGTGACATGTTTTAATGGTAAGCAGACTTAAGGTGTACTTGCACTATCTCTACCTTATATGTATCTGACCACATTTACGGCCGGACCGGGATGTATCTGACCCCAATTATGTCTGTAAATGAGTGAAAAGGTCATAATGTGAGTATGTCCTTTAAATACAGTGAGCATAGGATGTTAATGAAGTGAAAGATGTCCCACTAAGGCGGATAATTCCATTAAATCGCTAGTACATGGCCCCAGCCGAATTGAGATTCGTGATTGAGCCTCTTCGGAAAAATTGGAAGCTTGGGGCAACCCGTCTGAAATGGTTGTCTAACCGAGCTTGAGCTAAGTTGAGTAACGCAATTGAGCCCCTCTGAAAAAATATGAGCCTCAGGGTAACCGGACAAAAATGGCTGGTGGCGTCAGCCGAAACTAGAACGAAAATGTGGTGCTGAGTATCTCAGCAAAGCTTGGCCGCGTGGTGGGGATCCGCCAGGCCTCATATGAAAAAGGGGCGGATGTACTGGTGCTTTAAAATTGGCTGCATGGTGGCTGTGCAAGGATGACGTGCATAGCTCGAGATAGTAATGTAATGAACCCGGACTCGTAGGAAAGCCAATCAGCAACGCAATGGAAGTCTGAACCCAGCGTGACTCATGAAGTCTCCAAATCGTCAATTACAAGTCGAAGTCTCGATCAAATGCACATTTCCGGAGTAGTTTCCCGTCAAAGAAGAGCATGAGAGAAGAGTAAGGGAAGAGATGAGACAGAGAGGAGGAGCAGAGTCTCAATGATAATTCCCTTTCCCGCTCCTACTTCGGGCTCTTTCACAAATGCCACCTCAGCAATGCATAATCCCACCGACGTCCTCTGACATAGCTGTTGTCCAGATCAGAACAGGGCGCCCATCCTCCTTCTATTTCAGCAATCAGATCACGTGGAGACGGCGGCAGATCACGTGTTTTCACCAAGTAAGTCCAGGTAAGCTTTCCCACTTCTCCTCGTAGTCACACAGCCATGATCCTCCTCCTCGCTAATAGCTTCCTTCTAGTCCCTATCTCTGTGGCAAGGTTGGAGCCCACTCCCAGCATCTGGCGCCAGCATATTCCTCTAGCAGCCTCGCGTCGCGATACTATCGTCAAGCAAGCGCAAGGCAGAATGAATGATTCCCACGGCGGGTGGGTCAACTCTATATAGTGTTGATTCATGTTGGCCAGCCTCCCCTCTCCTTGGGTCGACGGCCCAGATGAATCGAAAGCCAATGGCCTGGATGTATCGTAGTTCCTAATTTCCCTTGTGTCTCACTTGGACTGGAATCTTTTGGATGCCTGCCGACAACCAATAATGTGCATCTGATCGACGGTCGTGACTGACCAGCAGGTCGATTTCGACTTTGGGCCTGGTTTTTCCGTGCTGGGTCTGGCCGTCGAGTTTCCAAAGTCAAATGTCTCTCGTGGGAGGTCTGGATGCAGTGCTCGACTCAAGCCATGATACCCTATGACCCCCTAGTTTTTTTCTCATACATTTCTCAGGCTCAATACGTGCGTTTTTTACCTCGTTTCAGGTCTTCGACCAAAATTGACGACCCTTAGCCTGCAAAAATGCAGATTTGGGCATTCCATCCGGCCCGATTTTGAGTTCCACCGCAGAAATTATTTTATTACAGGCACGGTTTCCTCTCAACCCAGGATAGTCAATGCACAGTCTAAGTTCACCTGCCTTTTTCGGCACGAAGAGTACAGGCGCGCTGTAGGGAGACAAAGTTGGACTAATCCATCCTTTCTCAGTTAGTTTCTGCAGTTGTATTTTCAACTCTTCCAATTCGCTCGGGGACGTGCAGTAGATCGGTTCTTCAGGAATCATACTTTTGAGAATAATTGAATGGTGTACTTGATGGTTCGTTCAATTACTCTCAGTGGTTCATTATGCAGGCCCTTATATTCGTAAAGTAGTTCCTCAATAGTTGTAGTATAGGACACGAAGTACTCTCCTACACTCTTAACAAGCACCATCATTACATCCTGTATCAACTTCTACTTAGTTACGATTTTCGGAAAGCAGGATGTTGGGTAGCATGGCGTACGTATATGCAGGTTGCGCGTACACGCGTACACGTATTCCTGTACGCGACAAGTACTCACGTACGCGTACTCTCGTACGGGGGGGGGGGGGGGGGGGGGGGGGG